AAAACAGTATATATTAAATCCTCTCGATATAGTGAATTTCTGAAAATTTTTCACTAATAGCCCGAACACCTTCACTAAATAGAAACTAAACTGATAAGCTGATTCAAACAATCAAAAAAACTCACGATCATGTGTCATCAATCGCCAGGTGTATTTTTAAGGCTAAAAATTACATCATTGTAGAAAAGTGGTGACAAAAAATTTCCAGATCCCATTTCTTATATATGTTGTGCCCCAAATCACAATCTGCTCCAATTGACAATTGGGATATATCCCAAATCAAAATCCAAACCAAATATAGCCTATCCTTCAGCGCTAACCCTAACCCTTACCCTAATTTGGGCCGATTGTGATTGGGACAATTGTGATTTGGGGCACAACATATACACTCGAAATGTGCAACTTGTGCAACTTGTACAACTCATTCACAATCTATAATGTCTGAAAATACCCAAAATACCGAAAAACTTTTGGCAGAAATTTCTCGTCTTGATTTCACAGAAGAAGAGAAAGCTTCCATATTCTCATACTTCATTGATCAGCCTGCTAAGATATCCATTACTTTGACAGGATTATCTCACTTCAAGGACGAAGGGAAAGTTTTCTTATTCAGAAAGTGTCTGACGTCTGGTATGTTCCCTCACAGATAGCCGTTGTTTCGTTTTCGTATAATATCGAATACTTAATCTTGTGCTTTCTTTCTTTCCCGCTTCTTATCACCCAAAAAACACATTCACGTTATCGTTGAAGCTCCCGTTGCCACCGGTAAGTGAGTTGTATAAGTTTAGTCAACACAATGAAAGTGACCTGGCTCAACTTTTTAATAGCCGTTGTTTTATTCTCGTCTGCGCTGTGTCATATTTGCTAATAATTCCAAATACTTAATCTTGTGCAATTCTTTCCTGCTTAACGTCCAAAAAACACATTCACGTTATTGTTGATAGCTATTTTTTTTCGATCTCATTATTTTAACACCTTTTAACTTGCTTATATAAACAGAGTTGGCACCGTCTCTGAAGAGACATCTCGATGAAATCAAAACCCAAATAAAAGACCAATCAGTACAAATAAAAGACCAATCAATGCAAATAAAAGACCAAATAAAAACCCAATCAGTGCAACTAGATTCAATACGCTATGAAGTAAAGTCAATACTGAGATCTGGCTTAGTGCTCCAGGTATGTTGTTAATCTGATCTGTACAATCCTGTCCTGCAAACACCGTTTAATATTTGTGTTTAGCTACCACTACGGAAACTGATAAGGGTATTTATATGAGAAACCACGGTACCCAGATGACCTTCTCACTTCGACTGACCGCAACGACCCGAAGAATAGTAGAAGGAAAGTTTAAAAGCCCGCCTAACGCCGAGATTCCGGAAAAAATATTACAAGAATATTTATCAACGAATGCAACGCACTGCGAGCATTAAAGTATGTAAAACTTGTAATTGAGGACTCGCATTCTATTCCGTTGCTGGCTACTCGAAAACCAGACTTTGTATTCGTCCCAAGAGGGTGTCCTCTAAATGCATTAAATATCGTAGCTGTTGGTGAGATCAGAAAACGCTCCGGCAATGACTTCACAAATGCAGATGTAGGACACGCGGTGTCATTTGGTCAAAAGGTACTTCAACTACAGCCTCGGAGAGCTTACGTATACGTGGCGTTGACAGATTGCAGGGTTATTTCTATCTTTAAGGTGAAGAAGCGCGACAGTAATACCAGTGACAACATCCGATTCTCGTATGGATACACAGCACCACATAAGTTAACTTACGAAAGCAAGGATTCCCGCCATCTGGGTGGCGATACCTCGTAACGATTATGGAATGTTCTCCGGATACGCTTGGATGGATTGAACCATCGTTAAATTTCGGTTTAGATGCTGTCACATTAGTTCGACCCATCAATACAGGAAGGACTAGCGTTGTATATGAAGGAAAGCTTAATGATAAGATGTCTGTGGTGGTGAAAATAGCAAAAGGCGACGAATATTTGTCTTGTTTTGAAAGAGAAAAAAATGTGCTGAAAGCTCTTTCGAGTTTGAAATAACCTCATCTTCAGACCCTCCTCCTGGACGGTGAGGGCATCCTTGTTACAACTCCTCTTTGTACGAAAGTAAATAATCTTCGAAAAGAGGATATCGGAAACATTATCAAAACCCTCAAGGTTATCCATTCAAAATTCAAGCTTGTACACATGGATCTTCGGAAATATAATTTGTTCCGTAATGACAAAGGTGACATCTTGATTATCGATTGGGGATATAGCGCATTAATAGGCGAAACTGGGACTTTTGCGGGCGCACTTGAATGCATGCCCGACGATATCCTGGCATCATTGGTCAACGGGGGACGAACAACTTATTCAGCGGAAATTGACTTGATATGTTTGGCAAGGGCGTTCTACTTGTTGCTTCATAAACCGCCAAACGCGGGGAGAATTTCCTTTGGAGGAAATCCTGACCTCAGCTCACGGGCGCAAAATATATTGGCCTTTTGGGGTCTAATGCCAAATCAGAATTGTGGGATAGAATTTTTCAAGACGCAGGGGGCGGGGCTTGAAGTACGAATGCGTAATTGAAGAACTTGAAAAGTTTTTTTAGGTGGTGATTAATCTTAGATAAAGTCACTATGTATTTTTTTATTGCAAAAGTATTTGTAATTTGCTAATCGGGGTATAGGAATATTTGGCACCCTGATTATTGGGTCGCGCTTGAGATGTGCTAAGATTTCTTATAAGGGAAAATCAATTATGTTTTAACCATTTTCTGAACCGCCACGTGAATTTTTCTTATAACACTCGTGAACTAAATCAAACCATACTGTGCAGACAACAGTTTTTGTAATAACGAGATGCCAAAAAAAAAGAAATATATTTTTAATTGTTCCGGGTGTCCGTAGCATCGCAATTCACTTGTTTGGAGAGGGGTAAATGCGTATACTTAGTAATCATAATAACTTAGATCAGTAAGGTGAGCTAAGCACGCGCTGGATTTGGAAAATGCATCGATCAACCCATTCTGATTTTTTGCTTTATCTCCTATTATTGCACCGTGAAACATGGAAGTCGAAACCCTCATAAGTTCGCATTCCATGCATTAACTCAAATTTTTGAATATAAATCACTATTTCCAATTCCATTTCAAATAAAAGTTTCAATCGACCTTATTAAAAAATTAAAACATAAATAATACATTGTAGCAGATTATGAAACACGTAATTCTATGACAAGTCTGCTTTCAAGCACAAGTTTTGTGCGTGCATTTCGTTTTTCTTTAATTATTACGGGAAATGACCTTACCGAACATAATTGTTTCAATTCGCTTTATATCCAAACCAGGAACATTATGAAATTACGTCAAGTATTTTAGACAATATAAATAAGCAATTACGAATAGCTTTATTGTTATGCTCAACATGAACACATATAGCGATAAACGATAAATATATGGTGCATAATATCTAAAGTCATCAAACGTTTGTGTTTTATAAAATGTATAAACTTCTCAACTAAGAAGTAAATACAAAATCTAACCCGTGAATATGCTCAGAAAGGGCCTGTTCGATCATATTCCCGGATCAAATTTTAGTTGAGAAGTTTATACATTTATAAACTAAATATTTGATGAATTTAGATGTTATGCACCATACATGTAATTGCTTTACATATCAAGAAGGCAACGATAATAAACTCGAAGGGTATACTGTATGGTTCTAGTCGCTAAACAAAGATGCGGAAAGATGTTGTATATGCATTTGTCTTTATGAAACAAGAAAGGTATTGATTTACCCAATCCTCTTTATAAAGATAACGATAACGATAAGCGATAAGTGTGTACTAAAGCATACGTGTAGAGATTTTTGAATATGCTATGATTTAAATAAAAATTTTGGAATAATTGTCGAGGATTTCTGTGGTATACACGAACAACAACGAACCTTTATTAAGAAAAGGTATAACGGTTTAGCAAATTTATTATGAATGTAAATTTAGAACAAAGAGTTTTTCTTTTTGCTGTGAATGCCTATACGTATACAGTGCTAGTTTAATATAATAATAGATGGTTTATCTTCCCTGTAAAGACAAAAATTCGTAAGTTTTGTTCAGATTTTGTCAACGAAACCTTTGAATACTTACTGTATAAAAATCTTTTAAAGAATTATTGTAAAGCGCTGCATATAGTTTACCATTTGTAGAAATTTAAACCTCAAGGCTATTGATTTTTCTTTTATTCGTTCTGTAGAAAAATAATGTTTTTACTAAAACTAAATCAAGGGGTAGCGCTTTACAGTACGACTATAAGTTCTTTATCAGTATATTTATTATTGAAAAGATCAATTTATATTCAGGAACTTCAGATTCAGAATTTACCTTATTTATTATTAAATTTTATTTGCCTACAAATATCATCGAAAAATAATTTTATAAAAAATATTTATTTATTATTAAGTATTAATTATTAATTATGTGCTCGTAATTGATTTAGAATTTCAAGGAGTGTTCCATTGCCGGATTCCAAAGAAGTTCATTAATTATATATATTCTAAATCATTTAATTTCGCTTCCAAAATTTCGATATATTGGTCATCTTTGTGTTCATCACATTTTTTGCGCAAACCTTCGTCACCAGAACTCAACTTACAACGATGAGTTCGACGAAGGGGTGGATATGATTCGCCGCGAACCTTGAATATGTATTTGTGGTCTGTAGTGTAGGGGAAATCGAAATTTCAAAGGGTTTAGTAAAAACAATAAATGCGCGTCATATTTCTAGTTCTCAAAAGACCTGGACAAAGTCTTGCTTATAAGTGTTTGTTTGTTGCGCCACACGTGCACACTATGAAACAAGGTTTTTTATTATAAAATCGCAGTACGATTTTATTTATGTATATGGAGTGAGTGCAGACGGTGTAAATTATATTGGGAATTACTATACAATTTACACCGGTTCTATTGCACTCTCACCAACTATTGTATTGGAATTTACTATCGCTATACAAATTACGGTTCTATTGTTATTTTATTGCTAATTAGGAAAATATTCAAATATAAGCAGGTAATTAAGAAATGCACATATTATTTTGAAACGTAAATAGCTATTTGAATAAGGTGCGCGATATTTTTAAAGGGGCAAAGCAGTTGACTTTATGCATGTACAAATCATTCCCTAAATGTCTTGGAGATGTAATGTCAAATATGAAATTGTGTACATGTAGTAATAGCGGTACAGTATTTAACGAATACGCGGTTATCGTTATCAA